GTAATACTAGTAAACTCACCCGTGCATAGGTCTGAGAATTTTTCTTTCAAATTTATGTGTGCTTAGTGATTCAAATCACACTATCAATTGATGACATCGTCTATCTTCATGTAATACTGATATACATAAAAGCATTAAACGAAACACACTTATAATATTATGGTCAAAATGAGAGTACTAAACATTACTTAAAAGATCAAAAACATCCAACAAATATGTTGAAACCATCACATTGTAATATGCATTTAATGTAAACCTAAACATTGTTGAACACTTCTTTGAGACTGGTTTATTTAAGTTTGGTTTGGTTTGAGACTCAAAAAAGTCTAAGTATAAACATCTCAAGTAATATGGTGACTATGCATTTTTTACACGAATTGCCCGGATAAATTGACAAATCAGGGGGTGTGCAAATATGTGAAAGTGTGTTATGGCATTATTTAAACAATACTCAAATATGATAATTCTTCAATCGGGCCTTAATCGGCTCTATTCGATCCTAGACCGAACCCGTGTGATGTACGGTTCGGCCCGATTGTATTGGGCGTCTGGGCCAATCGGGCCTTAACTGGCTCTATTCGATCCTAGTAGAGCACCCGTGCAATGCAGAAGTAGCCCAATAATCCATGTAAACTCCTCCCGAAGTAAGTGCGTTTATAACGACTCTGAAAACGACCCCTCCCACAAACCTTCCCTTTTCTTCATCGACACCTAGCCAGATCGACCTTCTCTCTCTCTAAACTCTGACCACGACGCTCAACCGCAGTTTATCCAATCGACTGGAAAAACGAAGTGGTCGTCGAACATCATCGCCATGTTCTCATCCCTTATCCCACCGTGAAGCCACAATCGAACGAACATCGGCACAATACGGCGTCAATCTGCGCATTTAGTCAGACTTCACGGTAAGTTCGTTTTCCTTCTTCTATATGCAAGCCTTCGTCGATTTCATGTTTTCCAAGAATAACCAAACTAAAACTTTTTTTTATAACTACATCACACAAACTTTACAGATCTGGAAGTTCCATGGCCATGGATCCGTAAACGTTTCATTCTTCCGCCTAAGTTTACATGTCAGGGGTAAAGATTTAAATCCAACCACCTCACAAACCACAACTCGTTTTGACGTTTATCACAAATATAAGCAACGACAAACCGATTTTATATGAACAACATCGTCCAAAGCCCACAGATCTGGAAGATCCGTGTTCATGTTTCTAATCGATTTTCATTTCTAGATTTGTTTTGATAATTTTTTTAATAAAAGATTAATCTCATTTTTTATAAATCGATCGTCAAATACACATTTTTTGACAAATAAGCATCCTAAAACCGACTTTATGTGAAACACATCATCGAAACTCTACAGATCTGGACTCCATACATTTATAGTTAAAAATATTTTTCATTTCAGTTTATGTTGATAATTTTCGATGGATAATATTTTAACAAATAAGCATCCTAAAATTATGTTTATCATTTTTCATTCTCCAAAAAATATGGATGATGTTTGTTTGCATTTTTAACAAAACACACTTAAAACATTTTTTAAATTTTTTTGAAGACACTTTAAACACAACACTTCCACCAATTTTAAAAATTGTACACTTGTACACACACGTGCGAACAAACATGTCATGTGCCATTAATAGTAACACAATCTCATTAAATACAACTACACCACCTACCTTTAAATATTTCAAACTGTTGGGAGACCGATGAACTCATTCATAAGGTTGAACAACCCGAAACGCCATAAACGAATTCCAAACGGTTATGCCTACCCATTATTTGTCCCCAACATCCAATCTCCACTCCAGCCCTTCTCGATCCGGTATATCAAAAGACAACATTGATGTAACACACACCAAACACATATACTTCTATAAATTTGATAATTTTAAGACGGCTTTTTTTTAATTTAAATAACACAACTCTAATAAATACAACACTTTATTTAAAAAATATCCCTTCCATCAATGTCTTTTGAATTATATAAAATTACGATATGTTTTTTTCAACCAATTTTTGGTGAAATCAATTGTTACAAAATAATACTACCAACTTGAGCAATAATATATATTTATTGATATGGGAAAGAATGAATGTGAAAACCTTCTTACATCCACATTGCTTTTATAAATGAAAGTCCATTGCAATCTTTTAGGAATTTGGAAACAATCAATAAGATTGATTATGCCACCACCCATTTCAACCAATAAGGTTTAAGTATTTGACTACCCCACCACCCATTTCAACCAATAAGATTTAAGTATTTGACTATTTCCACCACCTATTTCAACCAATAAGGTTTAAGTATTTGGCTATTCCCACCACCCATTTCAATCAATAGAAAATTAGTATTTTAATCAAAATAAAGTATCCAATAAAAATTAAAATAAAATTTGATGTTGACATTTTTTGGGGGGAACACTATTCCTCAAACTTCTTTTGCTTTTATATTAGAATAGATGCATTGTTCTGGTGTTAATCCATTTCTAACTCTGAAACTACTTTATATAGAAAAAAAGTTATTTTTGGGTGCATAGATCTATTAAATATATTTTAAAAAATTCTTTTATATTTTTTTGAGACTAATATGAGGGGCTTTTTACATGAATATTACTAATTTAGAGTTAATTTTCAAAAATGTGACCATTTTTACAAAAGGAAAAAAAGGTGACTAAGAAGGTCATATATTTGAAAAAACAAGTTATGCAGATTTTTTATGTCACTGTTAGTTTTTTATGTCACTGATTTAATGTCACTTTTGAATGTCATTGTGGGTTTCATGTCACTTCCACTGTCAAACGTGTTATTATGTCGCCGTCAAATGTGTCATTGTGTCGTTGTTAAATGTGTCACTGTGTCATTAACCATTTCTGTCCCAATCTTTGACCACGGTGACATCTCCCATGCTGGACACCACCGCCGTACACAGTGACAGCTCCACCGTCGATGTCACTGCCGCCGCCGGTGTCACTGCCGCCGCCGATGTCACTATGATTGCCGGAAACGTAAAGTTCAACCAAACTTGACCGCCACACCAACGGCACCGCCACTGTCGCCTCCCCAACCCCCACACCAGCCCCCTCACCAACTCACCAGTCCTCTCCGTAGCCCCCTTTCCAGCTCACCAACCCCCTCCCCAGCTCACCAGCCCCTTTCCCAGCCCACCAGCACCCTCTCCCTCCCACCAACCCCCTCTCAGCCCCCTCCACTGCAACTGTCACCAGCAGCGCTGACCCTAGATTGAAATCGCAGTCCACCAAGATGGTCGTTGCTCCCCTGGTACCTTGTCGCCGCCATCGTCGAACACAGATCTCGCGTACCGACACTAGTTCCGCCTTAGCCCCTCGTCTGCAACCCTTGGCCCTCCCTTTTCGCACCAGACAGTGTAGATCGAAATCGCCCCCTTAGGGTTCAGAATCAGCAACCTCCATTCCCGGTTTCATCACAGAGAAAGAGAATCAACAAAAGAGAAGATTGTGAGGAGGCGATTCCAGACTAAGGCGCTTCAGGGAACATGGGAGGTGATGGTGTTGCTTGTGTCGAAGGGCCTGGTGCAGCAAAGAAGATAGACCGGCCATCTCTTGCGTGGTCGAAGAGTGAGTAGCGTAAGATGGGCGCTAGGAGTATTTTAAAAACAAATGGAAACAGAAGTTCTATTTCTGAAAAAAATTAAAAACAGTCATTTTTTTGTCCATAAGAAGTCTAGAAGTAATATCTATGGCATTATTTCTAATATGAGAGTTAAGTTAGTATAAAACTAATTATTCATATTTTTAATATATGCATTAAAACTTTCTAAAAAATAAATACAATACCAAGTACAAAGAACAAAAAAAAACATTAATTTTACAAGAATGTAAAATAAAATGTTTTGTATTTGGAGGGACTAAAAATATATTTAGGGCATATATATACAACAAAAAATATAAAAGGATAAAAACAAAACATAAGAAAGAAGAAGATAAGGGGAAAAAGGTGACAACCGATCAATCTGCCACATAAACACTCTCCTATTTTGTTCTTTCCGTTGATATCACTGCTTCTACCTCCACCAAACTTGCACTACATGTATTCAATGTTGTTTGACTCAATCTGAAATCCTTGTTCTCTAATTTTTGTCTTCAAACATCATGTACCATGGTATAATGGTATATCGTCCAGCATTGACTCAAAAAATCATTCATGACAACAACAAATAATAAATGAATCGTTGATCTTTAATTGGTGCATTCTATGAGTAATAGGAAAGAAAAATACTAGGTGTACACAAATTAGTAAACAAAATGTACACAAAACCTCCTTAATTGCTTGTGTGTACAATTAATTTGTTTGAAAAAGGATCGAAATTTTATGCCAAAATACACTATGTACATGGAAATATCATTTATATAATTATATACAATACCCAAGAATGAGCACAATTTGTTCACCCTCCTTTGAGAGGGTGATGTTCACCCCCACACTACACCCTCCTTTCATTTTTTTATATATAAAATATTGATACCATTAGAAAGATAATAAAAATTTATAAATCCGATTTACTTTTTTATAAAATTAGATTATAAAAAAAAAGTTATAACATTTCAAAGAAAAAACACATGGCAACCATAAAACAAAGGGGGTGATGTTCACAAGAATGGCCCAATAGGAAACTCTGCTCTACCAGTGAGCGTAGCTCAATCGGTAGATAGGAAATGACATCAGGGGTAAGTCTCAAGTTCGAATTCCGATAACCGCAATGAACGCTTACTATACCAATATGCCACCTCTGCGCGTACGGAGACCAACAGACGTTCGCACTGCAGTTGCTTTAAAATACCCTGCACCGGTGGGCGTAGCACAACTGGTAGCGAGGAAGTGTCACAAGGGTTAGGTCCCGGGTTTGAATCCCGACAACTGCGATGAAACGTTACTATGCTAAAAAATGCATAGGGCCTCTGTAAGTACTGGGACTGAACTCACTCAGGTGATTATAGTCCTATGTTCACTTGAAGGCCCTCATGTACTGCGTGTCATCTTTTTTTTCTTTCTTTAAAATTCCCTGTTCTCAGCTTCTCCCTAGACTCGTACGATCACTACCTCAGTCACATCATCCCCTGTTTATATTCAAAATATCAGCAACTGGCGTTGTCGACTTTTTCGAGGTGTTGTTCAACTCCTCTTTTTTCCATCATATGTTTATGGACAGAACCCACCAAAAACCCTAACCATGGGTGAAAGGAAGCCCGCCTTCTTTAAGGTCTTGACCCACGACTTTGCCACTCACCTGGTAATTTCCCGCCCCATCGTTCTCTATTTTCCGGTTCTTTATTTATTACAGTATTTACTTTCCAGATTAATGGCATTTTTTCTCTTCTTTTTGAAGAGGTTGCCCCCTTTATTTATCTACAAGTTTAGGAAGCAGTTGCCGAAATCTCCGGTTTTGACGGTAGGAACTGAGGAAGAGTGGCGTGTAAAGATGGAGGAGGTTGCGGAGGCCCAGTGTTTCACCAAAGGCTGGTCCAAATTTGTGAAGGACCTGCATTTGGATCTCCACAATTTTCTGGTCTTTTGGTTTGAGTCCCCGTCCAAATTCTTGGTTGAAGTTTATAATGAAGATGGCTCTGCTAAGATTCTCGATAATCTTCTTACTAAAGGTAAAATTTACCATAGTCTCTTAGCTAATAGCTGTACATGTGGTTAGACTTTGTTAGTTTGTTATCTCAATAGGTTTATGCAAAAGTTACATTGCTAAGCCACGGTCAAGCTGATCTTGACCTTATTTGGTAAATGAGAATTATCTTTTCTTTCTGGACTTAGGACAATGTCTACTGTCTAGTTGTTTGACTTGATCAAATCACTAAGAGCCCGTTTGGCAGCACGAAAATTGGCTGTTTTGGCTGATTATGCTGAAATTTATGAAGTTCCGGCTGAAGTGGCTGCATTGACTGATTCTGCTCATACAAGAAAAAATATTTTTAAAATATATTTTATTAATAAAATAAAGAAAAAATTATATGTAAAAATAGCTAAAATGATCATCTACAGTAACATTAGCCAATACAGCCAGAAAAGTAACTCCAACCTTACTTTTTCGGTTTATTACACAATTCAGCGCGCGAAAGCAAAATTTACGTGTTTGGTAAAAAAGTTGGCTGATAAGCCAAAAATGAGGGTTGCCAAACAGACTCTAAATGTCTAAAAACATACTCCATCACTCTCCCCCTTTCCTCTCCTCCAAACCTGCCAACCAAATAAGCCTTTGGCGTTCACACTGCAGTTGCTTTAAAATTGCTAGTGTAAATGAGGTACAAAGCAGGGATTGCAAAAAACATTCATGCTAGTCTCTTTTACCTTCTCCCGGTTTCTTTTTCTCAATATATACGCCCCAAATAAAACCCCGGCCACCATAATACTATCATAGCCCACACCTTTCCCCCTTTCTCAGTCTTACCTTCTCTCCTACTAGGAAAGTCCAATAATAAAGGGAAGCCGAATCTGTCACAAAAAGGGAAAATACCATAGGGTAATTAAAAGTTGGACACTTTGTTCATCATCATCATCACCCCAGTGGCGCAAAGGCTGCCACTTATGGTGCAGTAAAGAAGGGTCGAATGTACGCAACCTTACCAGTATACTAAGATCCCGTGAACTGTTTCCGGATGATTCATGGTGAAAATCGTCTCGAAAATTACATGGGCTGACTCTTGCTTCATATCAAAGAAGCGCAGACAATTTAGTGAGCCATTTTGCTTTATTCCATCATATTCCAATTGGACACTTCGATAAGTGTTAAAAAAGTAAATACAAATGCAAGTATGGAATAATTCAAAGCGTAAATTGAGGTCGTTTTATGAAGTGAAGGTAGTTTTTGGTAAATGATGGAGGTGTTTTGAGGTTAGGTCCAAAGCACTGGTACTGAAAGTTATGCGGAATGGATTTTTGAAGTAGTCCATCCCTAACCTGAATTTTGAATATTTTACTTTATATAACTGATTAAGTTCACTCTTTTGAGACTAAGGTTGTAATGTTTTTGTTGTACTCCATATAACTGATTACGTTTCATTATAATTTTCATTCTTATTTTAATATCAAGTTGTGTTATTCATGATAAACAGTATTTGGAAATACATAAAATGAAATTTAAAATTAACTAGTGCAATAAGAATAACAATTATCAAGGTTCTAAAAACATTGATGACATAGAAACTGAGGTAGTGTAAATGTTGTTTTGGGAGATGATTTGACTTCTTAGGGTTAGTTTTGAAGGTCTAAATGTAACTATTAACTTATACCCCGTATTTGAGATTTCATATAAATGGAGGGAATAACATAAGGGATACATAACATAAGGGATACTTGGTTAATTTTAATGAATGGGAATAGGAATGGGTTTTAAAGAAAGGGGTAATTGGTTTCGTACGCCGCATTTGGGAGGGGTATGGCTGCACGCCCAAAAGTGTGAAACCAAACCCCATAGCAGAGTATGTCAAGCATAAACTATCATTCTCATTCCCCAAATTTTCTCACCAAGCTCCCTTCAGTGATTACAACCTTTTACCCTTTATGCCTTTTCAGAGTACATTCTGTTTATTAAGATATGTAATAACTAGCAAGTCGTCTAAAAGCATCCCTTGCCAAAAGTAAGACAAAAATTAGCCCGAATGTCACAAAGAATCTCTATGTTTGACATTTTTATTGAGTTATATTTTTTATACCATTTTTATACAAATAAATTGATGTATTACTCAATTTTGTTGTTTCTTGAAAGGTAAAGTTTCCCCAAAGAAGGCACATGTGCGTGAAAGTGATGTAGTGCCATTATCATCAGATGATTCAGACCTACATGTTAGGAAGAGGAAAGCGGCATCGTTTTCTATCGAAATGAAACGTTTCAACAAATACAAAGTGGTAGGCAAAATTAGTTTGTTTTCCTTTTTTGGCTTAAAACCTATTCGGTAGGGTTATCTCCTCAATTTTCTAACAAGAAGAGTGTTCCATATAATCCACTTCAGCTGAATAAGAGTGTAAGAAACACTTGTTCACTGCGTATTCGGATTGTTATACTGATAAGTGCAGCGATATAAGGCTACTGTACGGGCTTTAAATATATTCTTGATTTGCCTGGAATTTTTCGAGTCTGGTGGGTATTAATCGATATAAGTGAATGAATATTTGGATCAGAGAATTCCAACACCTTTCATGAGAGAGACTAGAATGACGGGACGCAAGTGCTTGGTACTGAAGGATCCACATAAAAGGGAATGGCCGGTGTTGTTATCTTGCCATCGCAAGGAGAGAACTGATATGGCAATGGGGTGGAGTGACTTCAGGACCCAAAATGGCCTACTTAATGGGGACACTTGCACCTTCCACTACCCTGCTGATGGAAGTGAAGGAGAAGAAAAACATGGTGGTGGCTGGTTGCTCCAAGTTGAGGTGACAAGAGCAGGTTTTAGGCCATAGCTAATGTTGAGTAGATATCCATCACAATGTATATGATCTGACCGGCCTGCCAAAATGCTTTTTCCTTTTGTTGTTGGCCATTAACATATACAGTAGCACAGATGCTCTGAGTAAGTAATAATCTTAGTTTGACATCAACTTTGAGACCATCTCAATTTTTTCTCTCCTATGCATGCGCCGAGAGAGCAAAAGCGAGTATGTTTTGGGGTAGACCCGGTCCAGCGATCTGGCCCGTTGCGGAACTGGGCCCATTTTTTTGTACAGGTTCAAGATAGTGTACCCAACCGGGTAGCGGCGGGCCCAGTTATGGGTATGACTTTTGGGGACCGGACCGGGTGGTCCCGGTCCCAATGCCTTGTTTTTTTAAAATGAAGGGGTGGGGTGCATGTAGCCATTAGAAACGGGCTATATGACCGTTGGGATTGCAGGGGTTTTGGGGCCTGGGGGGTTGGGGCCTAAAAAATTTCTATAAATACCTAAGCATTTTCTTCATTTTTTCAACAATTCTATTCTATTTTTACTCAATCTCTCTACTCTCAATCTCTAATACTAAGTTCGTACTAGGGTTGGATTCGGTTCGAGCCACCTGGCCCGGTACTGTGCGGGCCCGGGACCGGCCTGGTCGGGCGGTCCGGGACCGGGTATGGACCCGAACCGGTGGGAATGGGCGGGGCGGGCTCGGTGCTGGATTAATGTGACCTGGCCCGGCCGGGTCGGGCCCGGTCCGGTCTTAATTTAAAAAAAAAAAAATTTTTTGGGTCTTGGGCTCTTGGCTAGTGGGCTACTAGCCGTTGGGGGTGGGGGTGGGGACAACCCAAACGGCTATATAGCCGTTGGGTGGGGGTAAAGGGGGGGTCCGGGGGGGTGGGTGGTGGGGGGGGGGTGGGGGGTAAAAAAACCTATAAATACTCCTAATCTTAAACATTTTTTCATATCTCTTCTCCAATTCTTCTTAAATCCTATTCTTAACTCTCTACTCTCTAATTCTCTTATTCTCCAATATATTATATTTATTATTTATATATCTACTTTATAGTTTATACTTAAGAAGTTAAGATGGAAAATCAAGATGTCATTATACGGTATAATTTTGATAAGCAGAAGGACCCGAAGATCGGGATGTGGTACGCAATTTGCAAATGGTGCGAGAAAAAATGTAGCATGGGGGTTTCAGGCGGATACGGGATGGCAATCAAGCATATGAAGTCATGTGACAAAGCTAAAGGATCGGGAGGTGCGGGAAGTTCCGATTGATTACAATTTTCAAAATGTTTGTCTCTTAAAGTTTGTTTTAATTTTTAAATGTAGTTCCTATTTCATTTCAAATAAATGCACTTGAAGTTTGTTTTTAATACTCGTATAAAACTATAAACTATAAAATATAAATTATATATATAAAAAATTTAACCGGCCCGAACCGGACCCGACCCGTGACCCGGGCGGGTGGCCCGGCCCGAACCGGACCCGTCCAACCCTCGGGCCGGTCCCGGGCCCATGTCATACAAACCGGCGGCCCGACCGGGCCTAGGCCCGGCCCGGGCCCGACCCGGCCCGAGTCCATGCATAGTTCGTACTCCTACACCTTCATATTTAATATATTCATATCATAATTATACTTGTATAGTTATATATTATTTAGATTTAGTAAATAATATGATAGCATATATAATATACTTATCATAATATATACAAAGTATGTAATATAATTATAATCTCTAATCCTACATTCATACTCTTGCACTTTCATATTCATATTATAATAATAATTATACTTATATAGCTTTATGTGTTATTTAGAATTAGTATATATATATATATATATATATATATATATATATATATATATATATATATATATATATATATATATATATATATATGATGGAGTATATGGGTCTAGGCCTCAGGACCCACATACTCAGAAGAACAGAAAGCACAAGCCACCAATCGGTGCCCTCGTCGGCCAAAGGACCCCCGTCGGCCGAAGAGGGACCAACTCAGAATATGATCCTGAACCTCGTCAGCAAGGCCATCCCTGAGGATCAGGAGAACAGGGAGCGTGAGGAGGACGCCACGACCGACCAGGTCGGAGGAGGGGACGTCTTCCAGGAGGCCATCAACCTCACGACGGACCTGCGCAACCAGCTCAACGGCGGCGTCCCCGATGCCTGCATCGGCCTGGATAAGAAGCGCGCAGAGAAGGCAGACAACGCCCCGGCCTAACCATTGACCACGGCCTCTCCGTCTGTTGACCCACAGGTTTAGGCCGCACTATTGGTCATCATCGCCAGCTTGGCTCAGAACCCCACCGTCCTCAGCGCACTCATGCCAAGGACTGGGGGGAACATCACTCCACCTCCTCAGCCCCAACCGTTGGCCGTCAAGCTAGGCAACGATGAGGGGGTAGTAGCCCCGGACACGACGTCGTCCCACTCCCACCCTGCTTCCCCTCTTCGGCCCGGACAGACCCCAGCGCGTGGAAAAGCCTTTGCCTTCAATAGGCTGGGTGCCACGCGCCGTCGTCCGATTTCGGAGAGGATGGCGGGACGGATTGGTGAGCGCTGGCCTGGCTCGCCAAGGGAAAGCCTGGGGTCTGTGTCCCGGACAGCGGACCAGCCCCACCTAAACAAAGGCAAGGGAAAGTTGCACGAGGACGACGTGCGCCACCAGATCAACGCGGCCCACGAGGTGCGCATGCAGAACCAACAGGGTGCCACTGCGGCCGCCAGGGACCCTCGGGACGAGGTTATCGCCCAACTGGAGAGGAGGCTGGCCCAGATGGAGGCCAGACAATCGGCGAACATTCCCACGGCTGGCGCCTCCAACGATCCTGGCCTCAATGCACTCATGAACAAGGTCAGCGCCCTTGAGAGGGAATTGGCCGAAGGACGAGGTGACCCCGTCATCCAGGTCAGGACCAAGACTCCCTTCACTAACAGGGTGCTCTCGGCTCCCATCCCGGAGAAGTACAGGGGAAACGCCATCAAGTCCTATGACAGTCGAACAGACCCCCAGGAGCACTTCAGCTGCTACCAGAACAACATGTTGATGGTGAACGCGTCGGATGAATACATTTGCCGTTGGTTCCTCTCCACTCTTGAGGGGCCGACGTACGAGTGGTTCAACGCGCTTCCCGAAGGAAGTATAGACTCATGGCAGGACCTTGCCCAACGCTTCCTCACCCACTTTGCCGGGAGGAAGCGTGCGAAGAAGTACTTCACCCATCTCCTCTCCGTCAAGCAGCAACATGACGAACCTCTCCGGTCATTCATTGATCGGTAGACGAGGGAGACCGAAGAGGTCGAGGGGGCCGATGAGCGCACCCTGCTCGTCCTCTACCAGGGAGCCCTCCGCAGCTCCCCGTATGCCCGGAGCCTCATCACCGACCCTCGGAGCTCGTATGCGAAGGCGCTTCAGCGCGGGAGTATGTACGCCGACGCCGACGAGCTCCACAACCACAAGAAGGACATAGGCCACCCCTCCAAGAAGACAAATCCCTCGCCAGTCCTGGGAACATCCCCGGCCGGCCAGGGTGCCCAGGGCCGTCACAGCTCTGGTGGACAAAGCAAGAAAGACCGCCATTGGCGGCCAAGGTTGGAGCGGCCGGGGGTCCCCCTCACGCACCCGGTCAGCACCATCCTCGACTATGCCGAGAAGCACGTCCTCATTGAACAAGCTCCTCGGCCGGCGGAGGAAGTCCTTGCCATCCAGCAAGGCGGCACCTACTGCCGGTTCCACAAGAACTCCTCACACAACACCGACGACTGCATCACGCTGAAGAAAGCCATCGAGCGCCTGATTCGTCAAGGGGAACTCTCCCAATTTGTTAAAGGTGGCCCGCGCAAAAATACGTGGGTAAACACCGACAAACCTAGGGGCGAACCCTCTACGAAGAAGCAGGAGATCGGTAGGCTCAGCGACGACGAAGACTTTGAGGAGCCTCCACCAAAGAAGAGCCACATTCACCTCATCGTAGGTGGGAACACCGGGGGTGACTCCGTCACCCAGAGGAAGAAATGGGCCCAATCCCTTTACATTGGGGAGGTGTCCCACGTCCCCCCCCCAGCCAAAGAAACAACGAACGGAGGCGATCACCTTCACCGACAAGGATCTGCCTCCAGGTACGAGGTCACACAGGGACGCCCTTGTCATCCGGTGTGAGATCGGTAATTCCATCATCCACCGCACTTACATCGATACGGGGAGTTCCGTCAACGTGATGTACCTGGACACCACTACGAATATATCTATCAAAATTCGTATAATGTCATTAGAATCAGTTTGGCTCTGATACCACTGTTGAGAAATTGATGTAACGTACCTCGAAAGTACGGCAGCGGAAGTTTAAAATTTTCCCAAACAGATCTTCCTGATTATGACAAAATAACGAATATGATAATAATAACAGATCTGAGTTAGAACTTACAGATCTTCCAGCTTAGCGGTGATAATCCTTGACCTTTGGTATCCACGTGATTTCTCCTTTCCGAAAGAACGGTTAGATCTCCCTAAGAGAAAGACTAGGAAATCTCTTCGCAGGGAAATAAACTGGTAATACTGAATCTTAAAACTGGTCTATAAATTATGAAGGAGGATGATGTATTTATACTAGTTCTAAACTAGTTTTCCAATCACAATGAAAGTCTTACTCATTAATGAGTTCTAGTCCAACTAGGCTCAATAAATATTGTACTTAATTAAATAGATAAATTAATATAAATGATTGTTAGAGGGGAGGATGGCTCACGCCACTCCTTCCTCTCCTAATATTATTTATATTCTAATTTTCCTTTAATTCTAAATTATAAAGAAAATATCAACTTTATTTAATTAAAATTACATCTTAATTAAGTATAATAAATCTAATTTATCAAACTTAATTAATTCTATCAAATAGAACTTTCCTTCAACATGATGAATTAAATATATTAATCTAATTAATAATTAACTCATCTTATTTTCAGCATTATGAATTATATATTATTTAATCCAATTAATAATATTTAATTCCTTCTAACAATTCAATCGGAAGGTATAATCACTTGTTGTGTGACCCATAGGGCCTTGTATATTAAGCACTAATCAAATTAAGGTCTCAGCGAATCCCTAGACGATTCTCCAGACAAACTTAATATATAAGGACGTT